GGGTCTTGGGATGGGGGAGGGCAGGTAGGAGTGGGTGCACTCCACGTACCTCTGCTAGTCTGGGAGCACGTGACCCAAGGTGACCCCTCTGGCTGAGGTCCAGCCAGCTCCGCCCCTGCATCGGCAGCAGGCATCATGCCGGGAAAGGGCCCTATCCCCAGTCTCAGGGGTGGCCCTGGAGCTCGCAGCAGAACAGGCCAGGGTGGCCCCGTGGAGCTGTGGGGGGAGGGGAGAGAGAGTGTGGGGGCTGGCAGTGTCTGGGGTGGTTGTCCTCACCGCCTCCCACCCACTCAGGGGAGGGCAGGAGACAGTTGTACACAGTGTCCTCCCCTGTCACCCTCGACAGCCTGCCCACAGGGCCACTGGGGCCCCGGCTGTGCCCATGTGTGCAACTGTGGAGAGGGCACGGCCTGTGACCCCCTGACTGGCGCCTGCACCTGCCCCCCAGGGCGAACTGGCACCCACTGTGAGCACAGTAAGTGCCCGAGGTGGCTGAGGGCAGGGGCACCATTCGGCCCAAGGTCAACCCAGCCCACCCCTCTGTCCCCCGGGTGGCCGTGGGCGGGCGTGTGGCCGAGGGCAGGCTGCTGCTCTCTCTGAGGGCCCAGCCCAGCTCCTGGCTGAGGTCTCCCTGGGGCAGCTCTGCTGGGTCTGCATGTGGGGCCCAGGCCCGGGCGCTTGCTGAGAGAGGCCCAGGGCTCAGGCTGCAGTGGAGAAAGGGGGCCTGGGCGACTGTCCTCCCAGCCATGCCCATAGGTCTGTACCCTCACCTTATCAGACCTGGGTACACTGCCACCCTCTAATGGTACCCCATGCCTCAGCCCTCGGGAGCCTGTCCACTGCCTCCTCCAGCACTGGCTCCAGCCAGCTCAGGGTCTGGCCCTCCTCACCCCCAAGAAAGGACCGACCTCCCCCCAACTACCCCATCCACTGAAGGCACGCTGGTCTTCCCTCATGGCCCTGGGCCGGGATGCAATGTGCCAGGCTTCAGGGAGCCCGTGCATGGCATGTTGCCACCTCTACCAGAAAGCCTTCCCTGATGGCCAGCCAGCCAGGCCAGGCGCTCACACCCCCTGGGGTCAGAGGCTCTGAAGGAGTGAGGACCTGTCTGTCTGCTTTGCCCTGGTCTGCAGTGGGAAGAGGGGGCTCCCCACAGCACATCTGTCGGGGCATGTGGATGGGGGGCACAGGGGACGCTTGAGTGCCTTTGGGGACTTGTGGGCGTGTTTTGGTCCCAACGGAGCTCCAAGCAGGCCTCCTTCACCCACAGGCTGCCCTCACGGCCAGTTTGGCTCGGGCTGTGAGGGCGTGTGCCCCTGCAGAAATGGGGGGCAATGCCACGCCGTCAATGGCAGCTGCACCTGTGGCCTGGGCTGGACAGGCCTGCACTGTGAACAGGGTGAGTGCCCGGCTGAGGGGCGGGGTCTGAGTCCAGGCGAGGAGAAGCCCCGGCTCCAGGGGTGACCCTGGATTTGCAGAGTGTGGGCTAAGATCCAGGGTCACTTGAACTGATCACAGTGTGAAGGGAGCGGACCTCCAGCCCCATTCTTCACCTGCCCACCCTCTCCCCAGCCTGTCCGCCTGGGCGTTACGGGGCCGCCTGCCGCCTGGAGTGTACCTGTCTCAATGACGCGGCCTGCGAGCCCGCTACGGGGGCCTGCCACTGCCGCCCCGGCTTCTACGGCCCGTCCTGCGAGCACCGTGAGTAGGGGCCAGGAGCCACTCCCTGTGGGGGGTCCTGTGTCAGCCTCAGCCATGACAATGACAGGTCCCTGAGTCGGTCCTCCTGGGGCTTCAAGAGAGCAGGCCCAAGGCTGAGCGAGGGCCCCTGGCCTGGGGCCTGGGTCTGCCCTGGGTCCACCCTCCTCACCCCTCCTGCCCAGAGCCTCCTGGGTAGAGGTGGGCCAACTGGGGTGGGGTGGGGGTGGGGCTGCTTCTCGTGGGTGGCTTTACTCCCTGTGGGTAAACTGAGGCTGGAGCAAGGCTAAGGAGGCGCTCCCCTCACCACGCTCTGACCCGGGTCTCCCCTCAGCCTGTCCCTCTGGCTTCCACGGGGCCGGCTGCCGGGGGACCTGCCAATGTCAGCATGGAGCCCCCTGCCACCCTACTACCGGCCTGTGCCTCTGCCCCGCTGGCTTTCAGGGCCAGTCCTGTCAGCTAGGTGAGCTCAGTGCCCCTGCCCCACACATGCCCTCTCTCACCTCTCCTCCCCCCTCCCCCTACACCCCCTTTCTCCCTACCTTCCCCGCCTTGCCCAGTCCAGCCAGGCAGGGAGTGGTGGAGGACAGCCCGTTGTCTCTCACAGGGTGTAAGCCTGGCTTCTTCGGACATGGCTGCCGGCAGAAGTGCGCCTGTGAGGGAGGGGCGCCCTGTGACCTGGCCACTGGCCTCTGCCTCTGCCCCCCGGGGCGTACGGGAGCCACCTGTGACCTCGGTGAGTCTGGGGTCTGTGCAGGGCAGGCGCCCTGCGGTGGGTCCATCAGGGTGAGTCTATTGTGCTGGATGAGCTACCGACCCAGGCTGTCTGCAGCCCCCACCCAGCCCAGTGGGTGGGGGGGGGGTCGGGGGGAGGGGCAGCACTCAGGTTGTCAGGGTCAGTCATAGACTGCTGCCAGGGGCTGGCCAAGGTCAGACCTGACCGCCCAGAGATGGCCCTAGGAGTCTCTCCCAGCATGGGGACCTCATTCGGTCTGTCATTGGAGGGAGAAGGCTCACCGGTGTAGGCTGACCCCAAGGTAGGGCTGAGCTCTCCTGCAGAACTGATCCTGGCTCCTGGGGTCCTGAAGAGGGGTTGTTGGGCTGGTAGCTGTGGGGTTGGCGAAGGGGCTCGGGGCTGCAGTGAGCTGGGGACTGGGCTGGGGTGTGGGGGAGGGCCTGTACTGCTCGGGGGCCCGGGAAACGCAAGCCCCTCACAGACCCGGACCTTAGCCGCCTTCCGCCTCCCACAGCTTGCACTGCAGGGCGCTTTGGGCCTGGCTGTGCCCTGCGCTGTGATTGTGGGGGCGGGGCCGACTGTGATCCTGTCAGCGGGCAGTGCCACTGCGTGGATGGCTACATGGGGCCCAGGTGCCGGGAAGGTGAGTGGGGCCGTGGTGAGAGGGAGGGAGGGAGGGGGGGCACTTTGCCCTGGCTCAGCTCTGACCCTCCTCCACCCCCAGACCCATAGCCATCCCTGCGGGTATGCCCTGCGGGAAGGGCTTCTGCGGGCAAGACTGCGCCTTGCAGGGCAGGCATGCGCAATAGTGCATGTGCGCCTGCGCCGTGTGAGCACTCCAGGCGACTGTGTGCGAGCGTGCGCGTGTGAGCCAGTACCGTGTGCTCCAGCGCACGGGTGCAAATACGTCTGTGTGTGTGCCCCACCCACTGCTGCCAGCCCATCCGACTCACTCCGATCCTGTCGGACAGAGAACTGCCCCCTGGGGCTGCCCAGCCTTGGCTTTCTCCTGTGGAGTGGTTGGTGGGTTCAAATTGCTGACCTTTCAGTTAGCAGCCCCAGGTGTAATCCAGGGTGTCACCAGGTCTCGTGTGTGTGTGTGCGTGCGTGCGTGCATGCGTGCGTGCGTGTGTATGTGTGTACGCACTCACGTGCGCGCCAGTGCACCCGGGTCCTTCAGAAAAGCCAGGAACACTGAAGTAAAGAGAATGGAAGTGTCGAGGAGCCTCCTGAGCCCTTTTGTACGCTAGCACAGGCAGGCAGGCACCGGGAAGCGGAAATGGCAGCCCCCTAGCCTCGTGAGGAACCTTCCCACAGGCAGAGCTCCCCGCTCCATCGGGCCAGCCCAACCCAGGCCCCTCTGGTGCCTAGCACTGTGTGCATCTTTCCAAGCCTCTCCAAGGCAGGGCAGCCATGCCCCTGCTGATAAGAGCTGTGGAAGTTGATCAGAAGGGCCCCCAAGAGCCTCTGCTTGACGCTGGCTGGCTGCTTAGGGACTTAATGCTGACCCTGGTGTCACCCAGTGGCCAAGTGTGGTACTGCAGCGATGCCACCCAGGGGGATCTCTGGGGATTTGAGCCGGAGGCCTTGGGCCAGGTGGCATCTTAGTCCAGTGCCCTCCTCTCCCTTGTGGGGCTGAAGAGTCTGGCAGGGACTGCCTCAGGGTTGGGCGGGTTCAGGCTCCTCCCTTCTCCCCACAGCTGCCCACTGCTTTCCCAGCCTGTCCCCAAACCGAGCCTCCCAAAGGTCTCTGGCTGCCCTGGCAAGTCAGGGAGGGCCCCCACTGCATGAGTAAGAGTGAGACTAGTGGGGGCGGGGTGGGGTGTCTGTGGGGGGTGGTTCCTACAGACTGGGTGGGGTTAGGTCTTGTTGCCCCTTATGCTAGTCACCCAAAGGTGGGGAGTACTGACATCTGTCTCCCTGCAGGTGGGCCGACCCAGCCCCTGGAGAGCTCCTCTCCAGTCCTGAGCTCAGGTAAGGGGGTAGGGAATGCCTGCATGGCTGGGTGAGGCTGGTAGGGGCCAAGGCCTAAGGGGATGTTTATCCATCATCTGGGCCCCACCCCTGGGCTGCTGACTCGTTAACACCTGCAGTTTGAACCCACCAGCTGCCCAAAGGGCCCACCCTAGCCTGTCCTGTGGGTCGCCATGAGCCAGTATGGTTGGGGGCCCACGCACCCCTGGACCTCAGCGGTGAGGGCAGGGTGAGGACCAACCCCAACCGGCGCTGAGCAGGAGGGGTGGGTAGGAGGGAGGTCAGTGCCCCACCCCCCGACCGGGCTGACAAACCTCTCCCCTGGACCCCGCAGCAGCCACACGTCTGGCCGTCCATAGCCCAGGATCCAGGCACGGCGGCGATCGAGTAGTTCCAAGCAGCAGTGGCCGAGGCCCCGCCCCTCCACATCTGGCCAAGGGGCTCAGGGGTTCTGGTGAAAGCTGAGGGGCTCCAAGGACCCCTGGACTCCAGCCCCACCCTTGGGGGCACGTGAACCTTCTCTCCGGAGGACTGTGGACAGACGCAGTGCCTGCTCCGAGGAGAGGAGGGAGGCCTGCCCGGCCCGGCCTGGATCCTGCAAGTGGACAGGCCTCTGGCTGGCCCAGGTGCCCAGCACGTGGAGCTGAGGATGCCTGGCTCCGCCCCTGTCTGCCTGGCCCCACCTGGACCAGGACTGAGGGCAGCTAAGGGAGCAGGTGCGGCCCTGCCTTCAGAGCAGGAGCAGCTGGTGCTAGGCTCGGGACTGCCACAGCTCAGCCCACCCTGTATTTATGTCAAGGTATTTATGGGCAGCGGTACCTGCCCTCCACGCCCCTGCAAGACTGCCCAGCCCCCTGGCCCAGCCCAGGAAGCCTTGACTCAGGACTGCAGGGCCTGGGGGTCACTAGGTGATGTCATGGCCATCATGTGAGACCCACTATGCTAGAGAGACAACAGTGTCCTTCCGGCCTGTGTGTTTGCTGATGACAGGGCCAAGCCAGAGTTCAGGCCCTGCCCCTCCGGGGTGTGGGGTACACAGTAAAACTGAAACTATGCCCAGTTCCTGGTCCTGTGTGGGCAACCGTGTTGGGGGTGGGCGGGGAGGCTGCTCCAGGGGAGGTAGGTGGAGCGAAACTCACTCATAGTGAGACATCCCAAGACACCCTGTGTAAGTCGCCAGGCCAAAGGGGAGGGCCAGGCTGAGGCCTGGGCTGGTGGGAGCGCAGCCTAGGTGGGAGATGCTTTCTGTTGAGCGGGCCTGCCCACCTGGACCCCATCAGAGGGGAGAGCTATGGAGAGGGGAGAACAGGCCACTTCTCCTAGAAATATGGTGCTTCTGGCCTGAGGCACATGTCGCCTGGGAAGAGGGTGCTTGGTGTCCAGAGCAGGGGCTGGGGAGATTGTCCGGAGGGTGGCTCTCCGGCAGTAATCCTGTGGGCTCTGCCCTGAGGCTCCCCCCCTGCTCATCTCAGGGTGTCACCTTAGGGTCTGGGCTGTGGCCTGCTCTCCTGCCCCCATGGCTCCAATGTAGGTAGCTGCTACTTACCACACCTCAGGGGAAACCAGGAGGGCACTACCAGACTCAGGAGCCCTGGTGCCCCATTAAAGTGCTCAGCTGCTTAACACAAGGTCGGTGGTTCTAGCAAGCTGCACATGAGGCGGGGAAAGACCATGGTTAGAGGCAGGTGCACCTTAGTTATCAAAGTGACAACTTTGACCCAAGAATAATGGAGGCCTTTGAATCTTGGTGTTGGCGAAGAATAACGAGAGGTCCATAGACTCCCAGAATTTTAATATTCTTTGCCAACACCGAGATTCAAATGCACCGATTCTTCTTCTGGGGTTAAAGATGTCACCTTGGTGACCAAGGTGCATCAGACCCAAGCCATTCTGGAAGTTGGTGAAGAATATTGAAATTACCAGGGACTTGCAGGAGAACCTGGAGCCCTTGTGGTGCAGTGGTTATGCACTGGATTGCCAACCCCAAGACCGGCGGTTTGAAACCAGCCACTCTGCAGGAGACAGACAGGGCTTTCTACCCCTGTAAAGAGTTAAGTCTCGGTAACCCACATGGTGGGTCGGCCCTGTCCTATTGGGTTGCTGTGAGTCAGCATCGAATCGGTGGCAGTGAGCGTGAATGACTGCCCAAAGCATGAACATTCGTGTTCAGCCAGAATGCCCCTTAGAAGCGAGGATGGCAAGACTTGATCTTGCCTACTTTGGACACGTTATCCAGAGGTGGCTGGAGAAGGACACCGTGTTGGATCAAGCAGGAGAAGAGGAGGCAGTCTCTCAACCAGATGGACTGACACAGTGGCTTGGCTGCAACAGTGCTCTCAGAAAGACCTCCTCCTGTGAGGATGGCGCCCCTGGACTCGGGATCAGTATGCTTGAGAGTCAAGTTGACAGCACTTGAGGATGAGAAGAAAGCTTTCCCAGTTAACACCTAACCCCGGAGCGCTCCCTGACAAAGGAAGCGGACTGAAGGAGCCAGCACAGGAAGACCTGAGAGCAAGCACGACCCAGAGCTCCTCCTTCAGTCCCTGGAGGAGGCCGTCAATCATCCTTGGTACAGCGGAGGGCCAGTGAAGGGGAGGACGGGCCTCAAGGAGACGGATGGACACCACGGCTGCAAGCAGGGGCTCGGGCACAGGAGCCAGTGTGAGGGTAGCGCGGGAGCGGGCGGTGTTTCCTTCTGTAGTGCAGAGGGTCTCCTCCCGTCAGAACCTATCTGCCTCTGATGCAGGGTGTTGGCATGGTGATAGGGAGCCAGAACAAGCAGCCAGCCCGAGGACCAGCTGTGAAGACCGAGTGTGGGAAATGCCCAGATTGAACGATGACCAGGATGAGTGGGTTGAATGGATATTTTTCCAGCTCAGGACACCCTTACGTAGCAGCCGGAAGGCAAAAAGAGACGAAAAAATACAGGAAGAGCCAACAGACCATGGATGACACGGGCCACTGCCCATCCCTATGCTGGCGCTGCTGGCAGCTGCCTGCCGAGCCAGTCCCCTGCTGAAGGCAGCCCGTGCACCATGTCCAGCGCTGGTTGGGATGAGGCCACCATTATCCACGGGGTTTTTATGGGCTGAGTTTGGGAAGCAGATCACCAGGACTCTGTGTTCCATCTTAGTCTGGTAGCTTTGCCGAAACACGTGTTGTTGATAGGTCATCGCGTCCCAGCTCACAGCGACCCTGTGTACGAAACACTGCCTGGGCATGTGCCACCCTTGCCAATGTGTCGAGTCCATTGATGCACCCGCAGTGTCCATCCATCTCTTGGAGGGTCTTCCCCCTTTGCCTGGACTTGGACTTCACTAAGCATGTGTGTGCTTTCCCAGGGACTGGTTCCTCCAGGTGACACGTCCAAAGGGCCCCAGGTGAAGTCTTCCCCTCCCACTCTGCGGAGCACTCTAGCACACCTCTTCCAAGAGAGATGTGCTTGTTCTCCTAGCCGTCCACGGTATTGCCAACATTCTTAGTCAGCAGTACAGTCCAAATGCAGCCATTCTTCTGCGGTCTTCTTTGCTTGTTGTCCAACTTTCACAATCACATGTGGCAACTGAAGATACCCTGGCTTGGGGCAGGTGTGCATTCGTTCTTAGAGTGATGTCCTTGCTTTTTAGCACACGGGAGAAGTCTCGTGAAGCTGGTTTACCTAAATGTAGCCCACCATTGGATTCCTTGGCATCATAGCAACAGGCAAGCCTCTGCTGGCAGATGTGTGGGGACTGTGCATGACGTCATTGGCTGGGACTCCTGATGGGAGTCTCCTGCAGGAACTCTGCTGCTGCCTCCTTATCTTCTAAGGCAGAAACCAAACGAGCCAACTCCAACTCATAGGCCTGATTAGAAGTGCCTCATCGGACTTTCCAGGGCAGACCGCCACATCTTTCTCCTGCAGCACAGCAGATAGGTTCAAACATTTTGGATGAGTAGCCATATGCTTAACTTCTGTGTCATCAGAGCTGGTAGAAGCCCAGGAAAAAGAGAAGGAAAAACAAACAGAGGTGGGTAATAATGGCCAAGGAGCTATCAGAGTGCAACTGGGCATTCACAGGGAGAAGAGTTCCAAGAAATAGCCAGTCTACAGAGACCATGGAGCACGGGAGACGAAGAAGTCAGCAGGTCCCAGAGCACAGGAGAAACGGGAGTTAGAGCGAGAAACACCAACAGCAAGAGAAGAGCTGTGTTCTGGTTGCAACCTGCAGACGGAAGAGAAGGCGAACCTCGACTTTTATACCTAGCTGAGCGATCTCGGAAGCACCAAGTCAAATAAAGGTGAAGGGGCCCTGGTAGTGTAGTGGTCAAGTGCTGGGCTGCAGTCCGCATGGTTGGTAGTTCGAAACCACCAGCATCTTTGTGGGAGAAAGACTGGGCTTTCTGCTCCCGTCAGCAGTGACAGGGTCGAAAACCCACAGGAGTTCACAGTGACTCCATGGCCATGAGTTTTTGAGTTTTGGGGCCCACTATACAAAAATGCCCTCTGGAGATCATCTTAGAGGGGGTTCTTCAGCAAGAAGAGTGGAACCCCAGCAGGGGCGATGGGGTGCTGGTTGGCCACATCACTCGCATCCCACCGCGAGTTTGAAATATGGCTGTTGATCTGCCAGTGAAACTCAAGATAAGTTTATGGGGAGGAATGTGCCGAGCAGAGGATGTGCTAAGTCACTTAGCCTGTTGGGCGAGAAAGCCGGAGGCCTTGATAAGCCACAGAAAGTGGTCAGGAAAACCAACCTAAGTGCGGATCTCGGCAGACTAGCCGTATCCACCACAAGGCAAGTGATTTGTGAATGTGCTAACCTAGAGGGTGCTGGTCCAGCCCACCCAGTGTGCTGCAGAAAAAAGGCCTGGCGATTGGATTCTCTGAAGATGACCGCTTCCTCTTTCACGCATGGGGCCAGAATCACGAGTCGGGGTCATGGATTTGATTTTCTTTTAACAACTGCAAGAATACCGAGAGGAGATTTAACTTTCAAGCCATCTTGAGAAAACTTGATCAAGACAGTGAAATGTAGAGAGGAGAAATAAGGCGTAATAAAAACTGGGTCGGCAGGCACTAATGTCACAGTAATTAAATGGGTATGCAAAAGGCATGATTCAAAGGACCTTCGCCCTGTGGCCAGGAGAAAGACGGAGCTTTCTATTCCCACTAAAGAGTTATAGTCTCAGAAACCCACTGGGGGCAGTTCTACCCTGTCCTACAGGGCTATCAATTAGCAATGTGTTGATGTCAGTAAGTTTCGTGGTGAGTTTTTGTGGTATAATATGGTTACACGTTGTGCTGCTAACTACGAGATCAGCAGTTTGAAACTACCAGCCGCTCCTCAGGATAAAGATGAGGCTTCCTACTCCTGTAGAGTGACAGCCTTGGGAACTCCCAGGGCAGCTCTATTCTGCCTTATAGGGAGGGCACTGTGAGTCAGAACCAACTCTATGGCAGCGAGCTTGGTTTTTGGAGACTGCGTTACAAATAATTCCTCAGCATGTTGACCATAAAAGACACTTAAATGGGTAGAAATATAAAGAAGCCAAAAGAAAGACATGGTAGGAGATTGTATTTCGCTAGGTAGAAAGCATCATAAGTTGCTGTATATAAATAGGCCTACCCCCAACAACAGCCTCACAAGTGCATAAAGCAAGGCAGCACAGAACAAATAACTAAGGATCCCTGGCAATTTCAACACGCCATTTACAAAAAAACAAATGTTACTCAGACCACATGTGATCGTGCTTGAGTAAGCTTTAACATAGACACTGTATCTATAGGTAAACTTCATACTCAGCAAATGGAGAAGAGACACTTTTGTTAGCATCTTGGAGCAAAATTTGCTTCTTTAAAGACTAGCAAGAGAGACAAAACATTATTATCAAGACTGATGGGAAAGGTAGAAGACTAAAACCCCCACAAACCGAGGTGACAATATAAATAAAGAGTATTATGAACACCTGTATGCAGCTGAATTATGGCTTGCCCAGCTCCGGGGACCCTCAGGATACATTTGAAAACCTAGGAACGTGGACGAATGTATGGAAATTAGAAAATGCAAAGACGAGAACCCTGGTGGCGTAGTGGTTACACGTTGGGCTGAGAACCTCAAAGTCAGCAGTTCAAAACCCAGAATTTCTACTCCCGCAAAGAGCTAGTCTTGAAAACCCACAGGGCAGTCCTACCCTGTCCTGTCAGGTCGCTCTGAGTCTGCATTGACTGTGCGGCTGTGAGTTAAAAAGACTGAGATGAACAAGCTTTTAAAACTCCAAGCAGCCAATAACTTAAGTCAATGCAACTAGTGATCAAAGACCTCTTCTGCTCACCCCCACCCCCGGGGTCATGGGCGTTTACATAGGTGGTTTTACCTGACCCCCAGCCAGCCCTTATCCTGTCTACTCTGAGCCGGGCCACTCGCTTTACTACCATGGAGTGATTCTGACTCAGGACAGGGTAGCAGAACGGCCCCTGTGGGTCTCTGAGACTGTCACTCTTTACCAGGGGTAGAAAGTCTCATCTTCTCCCCACGGAGCGGATGGTGGTTTTGAACTGCAGACCTTGCAGCTAGCAGCCTACTCGTAACCACGACCCCACCAGGGCTCCCCTGAGCTGCGCCAGAAACTACCTAGAGGGATGGCAGGGGAACTCCCTGAGGCCACTGCGGTCTGGGTCCTGACCCTGGGGGAGGACAGTACCAGAATGTGCACAACCACGCTCACTAGAAGACCAGCTGTTTTAGCAAACATAGGAAACAGTAGTTGCTTGGTCAAATGCCGATGACCGAAATACCAGGACCGTTCGTACATCCGAAAACACGTCAGCACCTCAAGAGGAGGAGAGAAATCTGAGGTCTTGCTACAAGCGTGGAAGGTGTTCATTAGGGTTCAATGCCTGCGGAAAAACGGGGGGCTGAAATGCTCTCTCTTGACAGTGGTGAGAGGCTAGGCATCTACTACAAACATCCTGTTGAAGGAGAAACCAATGAACCAGGTCGCTGTTTAAATGATACCATCTCAGCCATGCCGTCCCTGCCCGCTAATTAAGTACCGTCCGGTGGTGCTTTCTGCCCTACCCTGTGTTATTTTTTCTGCTTGGCCCTAGAATTAGCTCCTCGATCTCTTGGCTGGATTGGCCTCCCCATGAGGACACCAAGTCCGGACAGCTGGGGCTTCTCTCATTTCACTCTGGGACCTGGGCTCTCTTAGGAAGGGGCATATTCCAGCAGTGAGTGGATTCCCCTTCAAGACCCGGAGTGGGGGCCGTGGGAGCTCCCTGCTAGAAACCTCGTCTTCCATGCAGTAAACCTGGGTGCAGCCACCACCCACCCGTCAGTGGGGGCTTAAGTGTTGCTATGACACTAGCCAGGTTCCTGTGGACCTACTAGACAGGGAGAGAACAGGAAGAAAGTCCTGAAGATCTACTTTAGAAAAATTAACCCGAAGGACCACAGTCGTTAGATCCATCAGCAGCCACAGGGGTGACGCGCCACTGGCTAGTGTTTAGTTGTGCCCGGGGTTGCCATCAGCAACTAAATGACAGCCGCCATTAAGACTCAGATGTCTTTTCATAACCCCTGTGCAGGAGAGCCCGGCGGCCCTGCCCATCCTGTTGTAAGCAAATGATCAGAGGTCACAATAATTAACGTATAGAGGCAAACTTATGCTAGTTTGCAAGAGAGATGATCTGTTATCTCCAGAAAACCCCAGAGGGCTACAGCTGGTTACAACGTAGAAGAATTCAGCAAGGTTCACCGATAGAGGCTGACCGGCCTGAGTCAACAGCTCCTCTGCGCCCGAAGTCACCGGCCAGACGGCAGAGCACTAAGATGCTGTCCGATATGGCAAGCAAACCTGCAGTGCCTTGAGAGTCTACCTGGCAGAAGAAGGCAGGGGGCCTTTCACAGAGCTGAAAAAGGCCCGGACCAGCGGGACCAGACAGCTTTCAACCAAAACACCCAGCCCACTGCCGACGAGTTGATTCCACCCCGGCCACCGTCCAGAACCGAGTCGAACTGCTTGTGCCGTCCTTAAGGCTGTAACCTTTATGGAAGCCAACTGCCACCGCTTCCCCTTCGGAGCGGCTGGTGGGTGCAAAGGGCTGGCCTTTAGTGTGTCCCCAGGGCTCCACTGAGCTCACGAGGGAGGGCCATCTCACATAGTGCAGCTGTCACCTCTCCCACTCACTGTTGATCCAGTGACCCCAGAGGACAGGGTCGAACTGTCCCCAGTGGGGTTCCGAGACTGTTGATTCTTTACGGGACTAGGAAGCCTTGTCTTTCTCCCTTGGAGCAGCTCGTGGTCCTGAACTCCCGGCCTTGTGTTTAGCAGCCAGGGCTCCTCCATGCAGAGGGCAGGTGGGGACAGGCGTGTCTGCAGGATGCACAAGCTCGCGAGGACCAGGGATAGGAGGTTCAGATGACGGAATGTGGCCTTGTTCCCGTGAGGAGCCGGGAGCCCCCAGGCCCCTCTGGGAAGCAGTGGTCAGCCTTTGAGCCTCAGAACCTCTGCCCTGAGGACCTGCTAGCAATGCCACTCCTAGACACCAGGGGGCATCACTGGATGCACACCCAGCTAGAGGAAGGGAAGGGCGCTAGGGACAAGCCAGCAGAATGGACAAGTGTGGGTGACCGCACATGACAGTGGCATGTCCTGGCGTGATCAGACACAATGAGCTGGGTGTGCACGGAGCGGCACAGAGAGGTCCTAAAATCCACGTGGAGAGACGATTCCGCAAGAGGTCTACATCCCCAGGGCACTATTTTACAAGGTGTCCTGCTGTACCTCAAGCCCCGGGAAGCGGCTGTGGAGGGGTGAGCGCAGGACAGTGCTGGCTGAGGCCCCACTGGCTCTGGGCCCCGATGGTGGTGAGGCCTGTCCGCCCAGGCCCCTGCCAGGCTTTCCCTGGGACACAGGGCTGTGGCCCCTGCCTCGCTCTGATTCACTGAGCAAATCCAGGTGTGAAGGAAATACTTTAATGTCTTTGGAAACCGCAGTTAACCATTTCCATGCTGGGGTGACATGTGTGTGTATGTGCTTCTTGTCTGGGCTAGGGGAGTGAGGGCCCCACATTGCCCTCTCTGATCACCCTCATGTCACTGCAACCCCCTGGGGGGCACTTGGGTGCAGGGCCAGCCCCGTGGGCTGGTCAGTGGTGGGGCCTGGCTGAGTTCTCCCAGCAGGACTCATTCAGGTCTGCCCCACCCATGCCCGCCCTGGAGGGTGGTGAGGCCCCATCCCGGAAGTGTTGGACCGAACAGGGTCTGGGGGACACGGGGACTACACGTCTGTCTCCAGGCGTAGCCGCTCCAGCCTGCGCACGTTGTCCTCCAGGGCCAGGCGGCTGGTGATGGAGTGCGCGAAGTCCTCGGGGAACCAGCCCGTCTCCCCGTCGCGCAGCCGCTCCCCGAACAGCCAGCCTGCGGGTCCATTCGGAGGGATGAGGGGCCTGCCCTGGATGTTGGCACCCCCGAAGCCCCCAGACTGGCTGCTCCAGACGTTTCCAGGGGGGCCACGGGGAAGGAGGTTGAGGCCTGGGTCTATCACACCCAGCTCCTCCCAGGGCCCCCGGCTGAGGGCCGCCCCCTGATCACCGGCTCAGAGACAAGCGGGGCAGCCAGCTTGTGCCTGCTGATCCCGGGGAGGCTGCCACCAGCCCTCCACGAGACACAGGGAGGACATGCTGTGCCACTGGCCACCCCCTGCAGGGCCCTCGCCCAGAGGCTCCCGGCCCTCTGCCCGCTCACCGTCCTCCTGCTGCAGGACCAGGACCACGTCCGCCTGCTGCAGTGACATCTCATCCGCCTGCTTGGCGAAGTAGGCCTTGGTGATTTCCACCTGCAGCAGGTCTGGGGGGATGGGGAAGAGGTGTCAGCGCCAGGACCCCCCAGGGGAGGGCCCCCAGACCTCTGCAGGGGCCAGTCCTCCCGACACAGAAATGGAGCTGCTACGTCCAGGGTCTGGGGGGTCTGGGAGTCCCACGCTTCAAGAGGCAGCTGGCTTTGGGCTAAGGGACCCCTGCAGGGGACAGGCAACTGTTGCCTTGGGGAGACCAAACCTCTCAGGTGACAGACCCTGGGGCAGGAGCCTCTGTTTCTGCAGACATGGAGGTTTTGAGGAGGGCTGATGATAAAGGCCAGGGTAGGGTAGGGGCACAGGTCCCCAGGGCAGGCTGTCTTGAGCTCACTCAGGCTGGGGTGGGACAAAGGGCTGGCCTCTGGCCCTCTTCAGCAGCCCCCCGCCCCCCAGGCCAGGACAGAGGCTACATGCAAGACCCCATCTCACCCCCTTTGTCACCATGGTCCTGCCACTGTCGTTCCTTGTGCTCCAGCGCTGTGATCCACCGGGCCCGCTCACTCCTGGGGCCAGAGAGAGGAGCGTGTGTGTGCGCGCGCGTGAAGCTAGGCCTCTCCACCCTGCCCCATCCCCAGTCAGGGCACTTCCGGTGAGGCAGAGCGGAAAGACTGGGTGGGGGTGGGGTGGGGTCCGGGGGTGGGGGGTGTCCCCAGGCTTCCCACTGGGAGTCCCTGCTGCTGCAGGCTCAGCCACAGAACCAGAGGGATCTCCTCTACTCTGGGAGGGGCTGGGGTGCCTGAGCGTGCCACTCAACGCTTGGGGAGCTCACAGGGCCAGCCAGGGACAGGGTGGGCTCCTCCACAGGCAGGCAGCCAGTCCCATCACACCTGCCCAGACCCAGAGCCCATTCTGCTGACCCACAGCCCCTGCCCTCCTGCCTGGCTCTCCCTGCAGGAAGGCTTGAAGGAGCCTTGGGCAGCGGCCTGGAGCCCCACTGGGTGCCAGTGCCTGGTCTACACTGTCCTTGCTGTTCCTGCTGCCAGCCTCGACCTGCCAGGACACCCTGCCCGCCCCCATCCATGTCCATCCATGGGCATGTGACCCTGACCTCACCTTGCCCACGAGGCCCCCTCCCCTGCTTACACCCCCTCTAGTCCTTGCCCTCCTCCCCCACAGAACCTTCCAGACACTCATCCAGGAGGGCCGTCACGCCCACCCGGCTGCCTCCTGTTCCCTCCCTGGAGTGCGAGCCGCCCAGGACAGAGCTGCTGGATTCCGGGGGGCAGGCCTTACGCAGAGTCGGCGGCCAGCATCAGCTGCTCCTGGCGGCCCTCACTGTTGCGCAGCATGGTGATCAGGAAGGGGTGCGGCACGGAAGAGGCTCGGTGGCCGCCGGGCAGTGGGAGCTCGGCCGGCTCCACCTTCTGGACCTGGATGTGCTCCACCTTGGCATAGTCCTGGACCACATAGCTGTCCTCGCTGCTGAGGACAGGACGGCGGTCAGAGGCGGCAACCATGGGCCTGGGGTGCTGCCCACCCGGAGGCTGTCGGGTCACCCAGGGCTCGCAGACTAGAGCCAGAGCCCAGCAGAGTGTCCCTGGCTCAGGCCAGATAGAGCTCCCACCCGCTGGGTCCCAGGTCCCCCTCCGCAGTGGGTGGCAGCAGGCCCACCTCTTCTTCTTGGTGACCACCAGGACGTCATTGAAGAGGAAGAGGTAGGAGGCTGGCCGGCCAGCGATCTTGCGGAGGAGGCCGCCGTCTTCCACCAGCGCCAGCTCGCCACGCTTCAGCAGCCAGCGGGAGGAGGAGGTGATGGGGAGGGACTGTGGACAGGCCGCAGGGGAGCAAGGCCCCGAGGGCTGGGGTCAGCGTGTACAGCCCAGCAGCACTGTCTGGGGGCCGCAGCCAGGCCTCTAATCCCACCCGAGTAAGTGGCTCAGGTCGCCAGTCCGGCAGGGGGTTCGCTGTGTGCAGGCCTCCAGCAAGGGGCCATCTGGGTGGCCAGCCTGCACAGGGACTTGGCCTGCTGAGCACCTGCTCTGCCAGGACTGAGCTCGAAGCAAGCTCAGCGCTCAGGAAGGCGAGCTCCCTGAATCTCTCTCGCACTGGTGTCCAGGAGCCGGTCCTGACTCTGGGCTTGCCTGAGTAAGCAAGAACCTGCCTTCCTGCCTCTGGGGCTGGCCCTGGGCGCAGTGGCCGCTATGGGGATGAGGCAGTTGGGCAGAGGTGTGGGGAAGGTTGGGTGCTGATGGAGGTGCAGGTTGTGGGCAGCCTGATGGAGTGTAGGGGGTCATTGCAGGGCACAGGACACACCAGGCATGTGTACAGCCCTTGCAAGCTGGGCCCGGACGCCCAGGTCCCAGAGCCTGCAGGCACAGGGTGAGGGAGACCTGGGAGGGGGCCAGCGATCTAGGGGCAGGAGGCACGGAATGGGAGGGGCAACCGATTCTCTGGGCCTGCTCCCTGGCCTGTCTCTGACCTCAAGGTGGCCCCCCCTCTCCACTGAGTTTCTGGTCCCCTCACTGAGGTTGCAGGTCATCGGCTGATGCACAAGCCAACAGGCAGGATGGGCCAGAGGTCAGAAGGGCCTGAGGCCCACCTGCGGTTATCGTCTGGGATAGCTTTCTCTGGACCACCCAGGGATGGGGCCAGCCCATGAGATTCTGAGAGGCCTAAGGGGAAGAGGGGTCTGGGCTCCTTGATACTCCAAACCCTGTACCCAAGGAGGAGTCTGGACCCCAAGCTAGGAGTGAGGCTGCCCTCTCCCCACTAGTCCTGGGCCCATCGGGGCCTGCTGCCTGCCACCCCTCACCCCCCATCTGTCTCCGTTTGCCTGGGCAACCCGGGGGGGTGGGGGCCATAGGCCAGAAAGGAGGTGTGCTTAGCCCGTGTGGCCAGGGAGGCAGAAACCACGGCCATTCCCCCACCCCCACCCCATGTGGAGCCAAAGGCAGGCCGTTCTTGGCCTTCCACAGCCTGTGCAGCCCTGGCCTGGAGCGTGAGACCCTGCGGTTAGGTTGTGTCCCTAACCTCTAGGCTCAGCCTGCAGGAGGCAGGCCTGGAGGAGGCTCTGGAGAGCGGGGGGGTGGGGGGGGTGGGAGCTCACCTTGACCTTGCTGAACACCAGCTGCTGTTGCAGCGCGAACAGCTGCTCCGTGCGCTCCATCTGGTGCGCCCCCTCGTTGCACTGCTTCACCAGCTGCGAGGGGGCAGGGTGGGGTGGGGGCTGAGTGCCACCCGCTCCATTCCCCCACCTGCCCCAGAGGGTGCTGGGTATAATCTTACACCAGGAGCAATGGGCTGGGGTCACCCAATTCTGACGATGGAAAGCTCAGGGGTCAATAATCTGCACACCCCTGCCGTGAGGGAGGTCGCGCTCAGCCTGGCCTCTGCCCGGCCCGCCTCACCTTGCTGATGGCCTTCAGAGCGCGGCCGGCGGCCTTGTACCTCTCGGGGTGGCCCTGGGTCTTCAGGCAGAGTGTCTGCAGAGAAGGCACTGAGGTGAGAGCCAGAGGCCTGCTTGGGGAAGGGCCCCCTAACACTGGAACGCGAGGGGGTGTAGGAGGCCCAGGGTCAGCCCCAGGGGTCTCCTTCTGGAAGCCTGCTGTGCCCAGCTCCAGATGGCCACTGTAATGCCCAGGGCTCCAGGCAGGCCAGACTATGTTGGGTAGAGTCCTTGGAGCCGGGACGCCCCTCTGGGACCCTGGTCCCATCCTTGGTCCTCTCGTTAGCCTCAGGCAGCCCCGCTGCCACACCCCCATCTCTGCCTGGGGGCTGCCTGTGGCCCAGACGCCCTGAGCCTCTGTGTACATCCTCAACACGCAATGAGCCTCCGTGTCCTTCTGGCCCCAAAGTGTCAGGGAAAGAGTGGGCAGGAGGTGGCACCGGCCCAGGCCCTCCTCTGTGCGGGGCTCAGATCCCTGCTGTGGGGAGCATGTGCAGCACAGGGTCCTGGGAGCTGGGCCAACCACTGATTCTGACTATCATTATCGCATGTTAATGTCATAAGTGTGGCGAGGCCATCAGCACGACAGTGACGTCATTGACATCCTTCACCAGCAGGATGATGATGCCGTCAATGTGACGGCACTGGCTGGACAGTGACACTGTTGATGTCCTGTCACTAGTAGGCCGGTGACAATGACAGCAACAACAGAGAGGTCCACAGGGAGCAGGCAGCCCAGAGAGAGCAGGGATGGCACTCTGGGGGCGGGGGATGGGGGCGGGGTTCCGTCCAGGCTGACTCACGTCTGTCAGGAGGGGCAGCCGGGTCACCCTCTGCATGGGGAGGATGAGGAAGGAGATCATGGGCAGGCCCCCGCACGCAGGCTGCCGCTCGATCTGCCGAAGGGCCTCGCGGAAGCCGGGGTTGCCGCTTCTGCAACAGAGGAAGCCAGGCGGAGCTGGTGGCCGGGGGCGGGGGCCCGGGGGGCGGGGGCGCAGGGCGGCAGCACTCACGTCAGCCTCTGCAGCGTGCGCTGCTGGTAGACCTCGTTGGTGCAGTAGGCCACGTAGGGGTGGAAGTGCCGCTCGGCGTGCTCCTCCAGGATGTCACTGATGTCGTCCACGCACACCTGCTCCTTGTGCCGCCGCTCCAGGGCATTGAAGAACCTGCAGGGGCGTTGCAGTCTTGGCGGTCCCGGCCACACGTGCACACTCAAATGCACATGCCACCGTGAACACGCAGGGCACCCACAAACACACGTGCAGGACCACAAACATCAGAAAACGCAAACTCGCCATCTCCAGTAATCCTGACTCCTGGAGACCCCACAGGGCAGAAGAGAGCTGCCCTGTACGTTTCCGAGAGGAATTCTGTGGGAGTAGAAAGCCTCATCTTTCTCCCATGGAAAGGCTGGTGGTTTCGAACTGCTAACGTTGCTGTTACAACCTAATGTGTAATGCACTGCATGTGTAGAAAATGCACACAGGTAAGCCCGTGCATGCGTACCCATGCACACAGCATGCCTGGAGGAGGACCTGAGGGTCAGTGGGTCGCTGTCCAGCTGATGGGACTGCGCTAGGACCCAGGCCAGCACCTGGAGCTGTGAGTGTTGGCCATCCAGGACAGTCCCTGGACAGATGAGCCCCTTAAACCCCAGATCACAGGGCGGGTAGCTGTGGGCCAAAGCTGCCGTGTGGGCAGGGACAGTGAGGGCACCTGGTCAGGGGCCTCGGGGGACACTCAAGTGGAGCCCATCAGCCGTGGTTCCGGCTGTGAGTCAGAAGCACCGTGCTGTCCTGGGGGCCCTGTTCACCTCAGTGTGTGGACACTGTGCACCAGGGACAAGCCCTGCCTCGTGTCTTATGGGGAGGGGAACTGAGGCCCAGGGGAGGGGAGGGGTGTCCCTGAGGCCAGATGTGTGCAGAGGACCAGCTGATGTGCCTGCCTGGAAGTCGGGGTGAAGGACTTGATGCCCTGCTGGCTGGGACCCTCACCAGGGAGCACTCCTGGGTCCCCGCACGGCAGGAGACACCCCATGGCTGAACGTGCTGTGAAGGCCCTGCTCAGTTCTTCAGAAACGCCACAGGGCCTGGCGCAGCTCTCCAGCTAAAAGCCTCCCCTCTAGGCTAGGAAGGAGCACAAGGAGAGGAACTGACCACAGGCTGGGGGGAGGCCAGCTGCCTAGCCTCCTGGTCAGGCAGAGACTACCTTGGGACTCTCCCTCCTGGGGTGCCGAGGGGCTGGCTCCAAGGATGCAGGGGGTCTGCCCTGGTGTGAGAGGAGCGCTGGGGTGGGGTGGGAAGCTAGGGGCATGGCCGATGTGGGGCCCTTTGGGCATGAACCTCAGTGTGGACATGGGGATGAAGCCATCGGATGGGCTGGGTGGGGCCTTGTCATCATGCGCACCTGGAACATGCCGAGCCCCAAGGCCCCGCAAACCATCTGCTCCTTGATAGCAGGGCCCAGCAAGGCTGCTCCCCTCCAAAGCGCTTTGCCCTTGGAGAAGCCCCCTGTCCCTCGGGTCTGGCCAGGATTTCACCTGGGCTGCACCCTGGGGTGCTGTTCTGAGGACAGAGGCAGCGATACTGACAAGGGGAGGTTTGGGATAAAGTCCTCTCCCATGAGATAGGAGGCCGATCAGTCCTGGCCACTCAGCAGGGAGCAGCAGGATGAAGGACATACTAGGCAAGGGGCAGACTGGCCTGCCGGCTCAGAGGGACTTGTGGGGGTACACTGAAAGGAGGCCCTAGGCCCCCAAATCTGAGGCTGGCGGGGATTTTTAGGTCCCGGGCACCTTGGGTAGTGACCCTGTTGTTTAGTGGCCCCAGAAGGTTTGGCCCTCACTCAGTCATCAGGACCAGTGGACTTGTAGGTAGGTGGTGGTCACTCAGGTACTCCTGTTCTCTGGGCCTCAGCCTCAGCCTGCACGTGCACGCACGCGCGCTCCTGCCCTCTGCAGGGCAAGCACACACAGCTGCAGGTCAGTGCTGTTTGTCCGCAGAGGCGTGCACCCACCACACACACTCCTGCGTGCACGCTGGCTCTCCTCCCAGCCCCCCACTCTGGCAACCAGAGCCGACAGCCTTCTCTGGGCCACCAGACACCAGCAGGCAGAACACGCCCCATGGCTGCAACCCGAGGCCCCAGCCTGGCTCTGGCCGGCACCGTGGGCACCATGGTCTAGGGAGGGAGGCAGGCGGGGCTGGGGCAGCTCACCCCTGGCTGGCCCCCTGCACGTCCCGGATGTTGGAGAAAAGGTGATGGTGGTCCGTCGGGGTCATGGTGTTGCGCAGCTCGCTGGACTGCAGGAACTCGGCCACCAGGATGCCCAGGCTGTGCAGGTAGGAGAACTCCGAGGTGAGGATCTCAAAGATGGCCTGTGAGACAGAGGGGGACACTGGGGGATGCCGGGGACACTGGGCCCTGTGCCCACCATGCACCAGCCCCCAGATGGGGCAACACACAGGTCTGTGGGCAGCAGAGCTGACAACAGGGCAAGCTGGGGCATGGGGTAGGCAGTCCGGACAGAGCTGGGCAGGGCTGGGAGGACTGCCTGGGTTGGCTGTGGGCTCAGTCACCCAGGAGTCCTGTGCCACTGGGAAGACGTCCCCCGGCCCCAGTAGGAAGCAGGGGACAGTACTGCCATGTGTGTGCTCTGACAGGGTCAGGGACAAAGGGGAAAGGGCCAGGCCTGGCATGAGAGACATCCACAAAGGTGACCTCACACAAGTGCCAGCCCTGAAGCATCCAGTGGACAGTGCCACTACAGCTCGGGTCCCCCTCCTGGGGCTGGCTGAGCCCACGAGCCCCCTGGGCAGCCCGCTCCCTCACCTCCTGACGTTTGCGCTCCTCAGCAGACAGCGTGTCCAAGACGCCTGATTCCACCACCTGGGAGGGGCCAGTTGGTGCAGGGACATGAGCTCCCGGCTCATGTTCCCTCCCCACCCCACCCTCCACTGGACCAGACCCCACCGGGAGGACAGGAAGGCCCTGGGCAGGCAGGACCCAGGGCCACCCCAGAATGGCTGCAGGTGGGCATGCAGGAAGACAGGCCAGCAGGTATGGCCCCTGCTTCCCGGTGGGACTCTGAGGAGCCCGGGGCAGCCCAGGGAAGCGTGGTGTCCCTGAGGGCATGGCTGGTAGGGTCCTGACCTCATCGGCGAGGCTGCCCCAGGGATGGGGAGACAGCCCGCCCAGGTGGCGGCAGGGCCAGTGCCAGGCTGAGAGGGCTGAGCACAGGTGGAGCCCTGACTGGGACCAGGTGAAGTCAGTGGCCTGCAGTGGGGTCCTGCCCATTGCCTGCCCCAGGCCTCTAACAAGCTGGAGTGTGGCTCAGGTTGTCCATTGGGCTGTGTCCCCACTCAGACTGCCCTCTGCAGGACCACCAGGAGGCCCCGTCCCCCTGCCTTCCTCCACTGCCCAGTGTCTCAAGTTATGCCAGAATCCTACTCCCTGGACCCCACTTCTAGACCCCAGAGGTGACAGACCTCCACCCTCCACACCCTGCACTTGGCAGGTGGAAAAACCATGACTTTTCATAAATGTCTATTGGCTAGGGGTCAGGGGATCCATCTGTACCTGCTGGGCCTCCTTGGGCCAGAGATCTCACTGCAGTGACAAAAAGCTTAAGGGTGGGCACAGCCCCCTCATGGGGGCCAGCTAACCAGGAGCCCCTTAGGCTGCAGACACCTTGGCTGAGTCCCCTCCCCTGCAGGGTCAGGCACCGCCCACCCATTCCTCAGGCCTCTCTTCTGTCCCCACCCTGCTCACCCCTGGCTGCAGCCTTGACCTCCTGGGTAGTGCCTGCCTGCCACCTCCCACTGCACTGTCCAGAGCCCAGGGCCCGCCCCCAGTGCCCACCAAGCCCCCACAGCCAGGAAGGGTGGGGTAGCACGGCATCTGGAATGCAGAAAGGGAGAAGGGAGGGACTGTAGCTTGTTCACAGCCCCAGCTCAGAGCCCCAGGCCAGGGCTTCCTGCCCCCATGGCCACCAGCCTTGCTGACCCTCCCAACCTTGGGCAGAAGGGGCTCTTTTGCCCCAGTTCCAGCAGGTCCGAGTGAGTGGAAAAGCAGATTGGGTGGCACACTCAACGTGCACACCACACACACATAGTCACAAACACTACACACATAAAACACAAACACCACACTCACCACCACCTCTCCCCCCATCCCCCCCACACAGTTGGAAGACAAACACCCCTTGCTCACTACTCCCTCCCCATTCTAGCCAGGGGAGGTAGCAGGGATTGCCCACCAGGCACTTTGGAGGCTGGCAGGGAGGAGTGGACCGCCCGGCTCGGAGTCTCCCACCAGGACCAGCACCAGCCTACCTCAGGGAGCTGGCTCCAGGTGACCTGTGCGGGCCGGTAGCTCTTGACCACAATGGCGTCCACTTTCCGGGGGCTCTCGGGGCTGGCATGGGCCTCCAGCAAGTCGTCATCGGATTCATGGCTGGTGTTCAGGCCCCGCTCCCGGATCTCCTGATAGAGGCAGGGGTCTGTGGGGAGGGGGTGAGTCACCTGCAGGCTGGGGGGCCCTGAGGCCTGTCCCCTTGGGAGTCCACAGGTCAAGCCCTCTGGAGGGGACCCCAAAATCCCCTCAAGCAACAGGCGGCGTAAAGCACCCCGCAACAGGCTGCTCTCGGGCCAGCTGGTTCCCATGGCTGGTGGGCAGTGAGGTAGCAGCACCATGCAGAATGTGGCACCTCTGACAGGGAAGCTGACCAATTGAGTGCCCAGGGCCTAGGAGGCTCTGGGCAGGGCTGTCCCCTGACCCCCAGACTGCAGTGAGTGCCTAAGACCCAGGAGGCTCTGTGCAGGGCTGGCCCCTGACCCCAAGACCTTACAGTGAACTGCATGTTCCCCTGTTCCTCACACCAAGATGCCACCCCAAGTCCTCACGAAGATGGACTAGTGTGCCCCTCTTTACCCCCAACCCCCAGTGACCCTGTCCACCAAGACTCTGGGGCAGGCAGAGCCTCCTGACAAAGGCGGACCCTAGCCCAGCCCTCAGTGCCCACCTTCTCCCGTCCTGGCTTCAGGGGTGTCTGCACCTGGACTTCCCCTGGGGGTCCAGCTGCATCCACCCTCAGCAGGCTAGCATTTACCCTCTGGGCTCTAAGCCGTGCCCATCTCCCCTGGCCTGGGCTCCCAGCATGGCCTCACACAGATGTCTGATACTGTCTCCTGGGACCTCCATCTGTCCCCTTAGGAACCACCAGGATGCGTCTAGTCCATCAGCCCAGCCTGCCAGTCCCGGAAGCACAAGGGTCCTGAGAGCACATCTAATCCCTGTGCCCCAGGATGGCCCCCCAGCGGTGAGGGGGCCCGCCTGAGCCCAGCTCCCCGGGGGCTAAGCACTCACCATCCTTGAAGGAGCCCTTGTGCACGCGCTTCCGTCCCAGTGTCCTCTGCAGCAAAGAAGAGGGTGGTCAGCATGGTAGGGGCAGGGGCGGGCCCATGGCAGACCCTCTGCTCCAAGCCCAGAGACCACCAGGCCCAACATGTTCAAGATGCAGAAGGTGCCTAGCCCTCGGTGCCAGTGGCGTCCCAGTTACCAGCTGGGCAGCAACCCGAGAAGGCCCAGGATGGTGGCCACCAGCCGCTCCTCGGGAGGAAGATGGGCCTTCCACTCTCGTTAACAATTAGTCTCGGAAACTCACAGGGGCCGGACCACCCCAACCTGAGTCGCATCGGGTAGTTTGAGCTTGTCGTTTAGGGGGAAGGGAGTGACTGGGTGTTGCCATGTGGGGCCTAGGAGGATGGGCCAAGGTGCACTGTGGGACTGTGGGTTCGGTGCTGGTGGGGTCCGGAGTCTGAGGCCTGCCTGGGGGAGGAGGCACGGCTGATCCGGCAGAGAGGATGCTCGGTGTGTGGGGTGGGTGGGTGGGCTTTGGGGGTCTGCATGGTCTGGAGGGGATCCCAGGGCAGAGCAGTGGTGGCCGAAAGAGCCCAGAGAAGGAACTCCAGGCTGCAGAGGAGGGGTCGGGGGCCAGATTTCTGGGATGGCAGTGAAAACAGGCCAGGTGCTGGGTAGCTGCAGAGGAGGGGTGGAGGGAGAGGGGAAGGGTCAAGCGGGGTGGTGGGCAGGGCTTTCAGAGGCCCCAGCTTCCCAGCTAGGTGCCCAGCTGAGGCACACCTCCCAGGTATGCTGGTTCCAGGAAAGCCAGGGGCTGGTTTCTCGGACAAGTTGGGGCCTGAAGCTCCCCAGGCAGGTGTTCGATGTATGCTCCCAATAGAACCGGCCCCCGCACCCTGGGTCCTGCACACCAACAACACCTCCACCTCCAGGTCTCTACGTGGGCTGCTGGCTCTGCCTTCAATCTTCCCCTTCCCAGGGCAGGTCTCAGTTGCCCTGCTGGCATTCCCTCCCCCACCCCACCCCCAGCTGCCCTGGAGCTGAGAAGCCTGGTGGGGAACGTAGTGGGTGCTTTGGAAGCATCTGCTGGAAGCAGAAGCATGGGGGAACGAGAGAAGGAGCCAGCAGGCCTGACCTGGGCAGTGCAGGGGGCAGCAGACAACTCCCAGACAGGCACTGGACCCAGGCCCTTCAGGGAGGACTAGAGCGGAGGTCAGCCCTGCCACCGGAGGACAGAGCTGGCAGCAAGGACCCCGCCCATGACTTCCAGTCCCCCTGCCCCATGGGCAGAGGCCACCACTCTGTAGGCTTGCTGCCCAGCCCTCTGTGTGACCCTTGGCCCCCGTGGTCACTGTCTGCTCTAGAGACATGCCCCCCCCCCCCCAATAGGATCCCCGTCAGTGCACTCGCTGACGGTGATGCTGGGGCACAGAGGTGCGGGCTTACCCAGCAGGAAGGCTCCACCCCAGGCTTTGGGGGCAGCAGACGCCTGGGGCGGATTCCAAGATGGGCCCTGGTGAGTAGCCGTACAGAAAAGCCAGGGGCAAGGCCTGCTCCCGAGGCGTGCCCAGGCTGCTCAGTCTTCCTGGTCTGGTCAATGTCTGGAGCAACCCCCCAGCCCAGATTCACCAGGGCGGGAGACCCAGCAGGCGTGGGCAGGGCCACTTCATACAAAGGCCTCTTAGCTAGTGGCTGTTGGCAAAGGGTCCAGTGACCCGGCAGACCTCTCCCTGCTGGGCTGTGTCTGATTCTGCAGGGGCACGCCGGTGTGAGCTGGTGGCCAGCCTCTCCTGACCCCACAGGCAGGCTGGTACTCTACAGATTCCTAATCAGCGCCCACAGCTCGGCCGGCCGCCTCAGAGAGGGCCCAGCCGCCACCGAGCTTGGGTTTTGGAGCCCAGGCTGGATGAGCACCTCAGTTGTCCACAGCTGCCCCATTGGTGGCAGGAGAACAGCTGCCAGTGGCAGTCCCTCTGCTCTGAGCCCCGAGACCCTGTGCCCACCATGTTCAAAATGCAGAAGGTGCCCAGCCCGGTGCCAGGGGAGCCCTGGCCCGCACACAGGCACCCAGCAGCCAGTCCTGGGAAGAGCCTTCACAGTGGAGATGGCGCAGATGGGCAACCCCCTCCCTGCCTACAAGCTCCGGAGCCCCCTAGACGCACCGCCAGGTGAGGGTGCCTACCTTGTGCTTGGCTGGCCGAGTGGCTGGCTGGCTGGGCTCCTCAGCCAGCGCCTGGAGCCGGGGGCTGAGCTGCGTGGGGGCCCCCTCATTGCCTGGTGGCCCTGGGCCCTTCATGGCTGCCCGGTAGGACTGGTTCCGTAGATTCCGCTTCAGGGCACCCCCCCAGCCTGTGTCGACGTCCATGTCGTCCAGAGAGAAGCTGGTGCCTGGCAAGAGCCGGGCGTCCCGCCGGGCGGCCTCCTTGCTGAGCATGGCCGCCCCAAAGCTCTGGTGGCGGGCGGGTGGCTTTGCCTTGCTGCACGCGGCCAGGGTCCGGGGGATCAGCTGCTGCGTGCCCATCTTGAGGGCGGCGGGGCTCTGTGTGCTCAGGATGATGGGGGGCTGCGGACTCCCGTCTTCCAGGGGTGTTTGGGCCTTGGGCTGGGCAGTGGTCCCATCCTGGACTCGCAGGGAGCCCCGGACCATGGGGAGTCCCGAAACGGGGCTGCCATTGGCATCGAGCTGCAGCTCAGCGTGGAAGCGGTATTCCAGAAGTTTCTCATCCAAGGAGCTGTCCGAGTATCGCTGGGACATGCTGGGCAGCCTCGGTGGTCTGGAGAGTGGGGGGCAGAGGCAGAGGTGAGGATATCGGTCCCTCCTGCCACCTGTCCAATGACCACCTGCCACGCTGCTGCCCACCTGGTCCCTGCTGACGTGCTGCTCCTCACATCCACCCTGGTCACACCCCAGGCAGCTCCGGAACAACTGTATGGCAGAGG